GTGCAATAGAAGATGTAGGTGGGGGAGCTGGTGGTGGTGGTGGTGCAGCATCTCCAACACCACCACCACCACCACCACCATCCTATGTATCACCCGCTGCCGAGGGGTCAAACTCGGGGGGCGGCCGTGATCACGGCCGCCTCGACTCCGGCCACGGTTGTGTGGGCTCGGCTTCGGGAAAACTTCTCAAAAAAAAAATAAAAAAAATGTTGTAGATCTTTTCGAGATCTACATTGCACAAGTTTTTATTTTTAATTTTTTGACTTCGCCTTTGAATTTTAAAAATTCAAAAAATAATTTTCCTGAGGCAAAAGCTGTTTTTTTTTTTTTGAGACTTGTGTTTTTTTTTTTTTCAAATTCAGTGAAGTTTTCAGATATGACCACACGGCAAAAGTTGTTCAGTTGATTTTTCTGCATAACATATTTGTTTTCCAGAATTTTTTGATTTCTTTTTTTTTTTTTTTTCATGGCCACGGGGTCGCGGCCTAGGCTGCAGCCGCGGCCTCAGCTGAACGTGGCCGCCTCCGAGGGGATTCATAGCCACCATCATCACCACCAGGAGGAGGTTGTGGTGGCGGTGGTGGTGGCGGCGGCGGCAGTGGAGGAGGAGACACTTGCAGCAGCAGTCACGACATTGGAAGGATGCAGGCCATCATCCCCTGCAGCCACTTCGACAACATTTACATTGCCTGTCGAGGTGTTGTGGTTGGCCTGGTCTCCAGGTGAGTTGCCGCATGTACGTTAGTGTCTGCCCTTTTGGTGGGAATAGCAAGAGAGGGCATGCCTGCTGCATATGGCTGTGTGGAGGGCTGCCACTGCCTGTTTGCGGAATTGGTGTTCGGGAGTGGGTGGGGCCCCATTGTGTGTGGTTGTGTGGAGGGCTTCCCCCACCTGGGTGTGTGGAGGGCTGATGCTGTTTGTCCGCAAATTGAGCATTCCGCAGCGGGTAAGAAATTGCCAAAATCAGTATGAAATGTGTGTGGCTTGAGTACCGCTGCTTTGAAGTCGGTGGTGCTGTTACTGATACGTTCGAACCTTGTGAGCTGTCCCATGAGCACACCCCCGCACCGATAAGCTGGGGCATTGGAGGAAGCACTGTGATAACTTATGACGAGAAATGTCCAAGCCTTAGGTGTATCAAACACACCGATGTGAAGTGAGCCGTCTGGCCGAACCAAGTTTCTTGCCCCAAGGAAGAGACAACCCATCTTGTTCACTAGTATCTTTTCACTGAAGACCATACCGAGCAGGAGGGGGCGGAGCCGTCTGTTTTCCAGGGTAGAATGTCATCAGTGAACCGATAAGACAGTGCATTAACACTGCATATGCTTGTGCCGCACGCAGATCTCGCTAACGAAGTTCATTGATAAACTGTGCTTTCTCCCACCACTTGCAGATGCTGTTCCAATTCCAACACGAAAAGGGTGTCCGAGCCTTGTGAAGTAACCCACTCCCCGCTGTGAGGACATACGTTTGCATTGGCCTTCTTGCCCTATGTGTGACTTATGGTGTGAGTAGGCATTGGATGTGTGGAATGCCTTGTCTGTGCTCCTCCGCTGCCTTGCTGCCCACCCGCTTGCCCTCCCTTTCCCTGCAGCTTGTCTGTTTGCCGTGTAGTTTGGCTGTTTTGTCCATGTTGCTCTGTGCTTTGCTGCATTGCTACCTTGCTGCTCATCGATGTGCCTCGTCTTCCCGTGCATTTTGCTTGCAAGCATGCCATGTAGCTTGGCTGCTGTGCCAGCGCTGCATTGTGTGTCACTGTGTTGTTGCCTTGCTGATCATCTGCTTGCATTGCCGTTCCATGCAGTTAGCTCTGCCTCTGTCTACCTTCTTCCCCCGAATACAAATTACGGTCATTATAGCTGTATTTGAGGCATCTGTCAAGTCTAGATACGGCTGTAATGACCGTACGTTGGATTCGGGGGAAGAGGGTAGTTGGGCTGTCCCATTAGGTTTGCCTGGTGCTTCACTGAGCCCTTGCTGTGCTGCCATGTTCTGTTTGTGGTGCTGCCGGCATGCAGCCCACTTTTTGCAGGGGTTAAAGGAGTCCATGACTCAAAGCATCAATATCAATACCGGGATTCTGCAGATTGTCGAGGGGTCAGCCTCCTGATGAGTCGGTGCAGGTCCAACGAAACAGTTTATCATCGTCAGTTCTATTGTTTTCACTCTTTGTCTTTTCTGGTACTCGTTCTATTCTTGTCCGCTGCTGTTTTCCCTGCTCCCTTCCCCCCCCACCCTTCGCAGCCTTGTGCAGTGTCTGCCCACCCGCCTCCCCTCTGTCCCTCACTGCCGCTTGTCATCATTTGCCTTGTTGTCACATGCCCGTTGTGTTGCTGTCTTTTGTCTGCCTTTCCTTTCTTCGCTCAAGAGGTATGTGAGAACTGTCTTCAGGTCCCTGCCCATGGGCGTTTCCAGGAAGAGTGGGCACTTACTGGAGTGCAACTATGCTGTACTCAGGCAGCTATTCTATATGTGCTTTAACACACATCCTCACACAGACACATGCGCACACACAAATGCACGTGGCCACACACACAAACGCACATGTGCAAGCACACATGGAGGTGCACGATGTCTCCTCACCCCCTTACCCCCCCGCCGCCAACCACACACACAAGCAGTTAGCGTTAATCGTTCAAGAATCAAAACCCTTGCCCCTTTAGATGGGATCAAGCCTCCAATATGGCGCCTCAAAGGGCACTGGACTTCCTTCAATAGGAAGCAATTCTCGAGGCTTGAGCTCGAACCAGTGGAGAAATACAGGTTTAAAAGTTAAAACCGTTTAACCGTTTAACCTTTTTTTTGTGGGGCGGGGCAAATACAGGTTTAACTTACTTTYTYTTTTTTTTTTTTTTTTTTTTTTTTTWTTWTTWTTAAGATTTTTGTTCAGCAGTAGGCAGTGCTCCTTCTCATACATGGCAGTTATAACATCCACAAACAGATCGGGCGAATTCCTCTCAATAACCTGCACAGTTAATGCTCTGCAGAGCAGAGCAATCAATACTGGCAGGCTTCTTTCTCGGTTTCGGGCATTCACTCTGTATATGGGACGCTGGACCCGGTCTCCGGCAGGTGATTCTCCCCACCAATAGATGGAGCCCCTCCCCGGGTGCTAGTGGTGTCTGCTTTATCAGCGCCACTAGCACTGCAGGGGGCGCTGTTTTTGAAAAAAAAAAAAAAAAAAAAAGTTCTTGAATTTTCTGCTAGTTTTCGGTGATTTACTGATTTGGAAAGAGAGATTATTTGACATGGGTGGAAGTTTGCGACCTTCCTGCGTTTCAACTATGTAAGCTGGAATGCATCAAGGAACTCACTCTCCCTACCTTTTCCTGCTAAATAATACACCCACGTTTTTAAAATGCTCTACATGTTGGTCTGACAGAACTACCGTCTTCCCCCGAATAGAACGCCTGGTAATTATTGCCGTACCTGGACTGAAAGTTGAACCAAATACATATATAATGACCAGGTGTTCTATTCGGGTGACGACGGTAGGTCTTGGAATCTTGGCGAGCAATCGAGAGTCTTCCAGTTGATAATTCTTTGGGGACTCTAACTCAGGTCAGCACCAAGGATTGATGATTTTGTGGATTTCCTACCTTGTTTTTGAAGCGTCTGGGAGCCCTGCAACTTCCTGGTTTTGGGATGGGATGACATGACACGAGGGCACATTGGCCACCCTTTCTTTTTCTCATTGACATGGCATCGGATCGAGTTGACAACTCCCCGCAGCAACAGTACGGGCACAGAGGCCTAATTAGATGTTTTTTCGATTATCTGTTCATTGTCGAAACACCGAGTATATGTTACTAGTAGCTGTCAGACAACAAGTACGGACCAGAATACACAGTACCACCCACACTGTGCAAGGATGTTCTGATATAAGAACACAGTAGAATTGCAAGTTGATCACTCAACTTCCACACATATTGATCATCATCATCATCATCATCATCACCATCACACACACACACACACACACACAGAGAGAGAGAGAGAGAGAGAGAGAGAGAGAGAGAGAGAGAGAGAGAGAGAGAGAGAGAGAGAGAGA